ATATATCTCAACGAGATATATCGAATGGAGACCCTTAGAACTTGATTCAATGCTTTCCTTCTGAGAAAAACGCCTGATTCGGGGCCCAATTGTCCAGTTTTTCAATAAATGCCGTAGTGAATCGCCCTAGAGTTGTCTGCAACTCTAATACATTACTTTCCCAATGGGATCTGACGCACTCTACCGATTGGATACCTTTTAAACAGAATCAGATGGTGCTGGGCCAAGAAAATCTGCAAAAAACTCGGGACATCCTCGGCTTTTTTGTAAAACCTTACAGGATTCGTTCGAAAGCACTTTCCAACAACTAGATGAACGGTTTGAAGTAGATCGTGATCAGCTCTACCGATGGAGTGCCTTTTTAGCCGACTCCGATAGAGCTGACTTTTGAAAACGCCCGATTCAAAGTCACAAATTCGGTTTTTCATGGAAAGAGCCTGTCGCAATTCGGCCAACCATTGGTTCCAACTACATGGTTGATTTGTTGCTGATAGAACTCGACGAGCTCTATGTATGAGACTGTTTTCTGATCTGATTCGTGTATCCAGTGCCACCGTGATCCAGTAATTTCCGCCTACTTAGTAAATTTTTCACATTGAAGCCGGTGTGCTTGGCTGAGAATCACTCTTACAGCGGGTGACAAAACTGTACAGAGAAATATCAGCAATCTCTTTCAAACAGACGGCTCGTTCATCCGATTCGGGTACTCGCCGCCCTCCCCGAAAGCAAAATGCTACTTTTTGCATAGTTAATCAAGATGCTTCAGGAAATCGGCGCGAATGCTTCCAGATTCACGTAGTTTCTTTTGTTTCCTCCTAATTCATGCAGAGAAAAAATAAATAAGCATTGAATTCGGTTAGAGAAATCATCCAATGAAACTTTTTCTTCGCTTCGAAATAACATGCTGCGCGGTGAGTTATTTTTCTTCTCGTTGTCTTATCCCGTATGATAAATCAATTTTCTTTTCCTTCTCTTGATATCGTGCACGATAAGTTCTTTCCCCTCTCGTTCCATAGTTCTCTTTAGCTACCGATTTGTTTTAGTTCTCCTCGAATTAAAGTACTTCTGGACAAATCGATCCGGGTTTTTGTTGAAAAACTGAACAATTGGGTCCCGGATCAGGCATATTTCTCAGAAGGAGATGATTCAATGAAGTTTTAAGGGTCTCCATCGGACAGATCTCGTTGAGATCTATTTGAAAAGCCATATGTCTCAGTTGGAAAGCACTTCTGGACGAATCGGTTCGAGTTTTATTGAAAAACTGAATAATTTGACCCTGGATCAGACGTTTCTCTGGGAAGGGGAGCATCGAATCAAGCTCCAATGGTGTCCATTCGATAGATCTCGTTTAGATCCAGTGGGAAAGTTATATGTTGGACTTGGAAAGTACTCCTGGGTGAGTCTCTTCAGGTCTTAGGAGAAATCTACGGATCGAACCTGTGATTGACCGTTTCTGAAGGGAAGGGTTTATCAAATTGTGCTTCAAAGGTGTCCATTCGATAGAGCTCGTCGAGATCTACTTGGAAAGTTGAATCATTTCGCTGGAAAGTGCATCTGAGCGAATCGCGACAAGTATTATTTGAAAAACCTGGTTTCTGGTGCAGATTGAGGGTTTTGAGGACGAGAGGAATATGGAATGGGGCACCAAAGATATGCATTCGATAGAGCTAGTCAAAATCTACCTGGAAACTCAATGATTAAGTTGGAAAGCATTTCTGGGCGAATCGCGACAAGTTTTTCTAGAATTGTCTGCATTTTACCCGTTTTTCTGATGGTATTTGGGAATTTTCGCGGTTTGAGGGGGGGGGGAGCTAGAGAAAAATGAATTATGTGGTTGGATAGACGTCGTCGAGTTCTATTTGGAAAGTTTTCTGGAGCGAATCCTTTCAGGAAATTCTCGAATCCTGACCTAAGATATCCTACGTAGTTTTTTTTCAATATATTACACTTATCTTAACCATTACACATAAAATCGATCTAAAATAAATAAAAATAAATAAAAAATAGATTATTATACTTATCATTGATTGACTTGATACCAAAAGTTAATCAAAAATAAAACAAAATAACCAGTGTATATTTATGGTACATTGTATTGATATGATAAAATGAAGATACCGTTATCGTCCTCAACTTGTTTATAAAAAATGTCGAAAATGTTACTATACGATAATTTAATTTATTTACATGTAAATAATTCCACTGCTGTTTTGAAGAGGACGAAATTTTTTAAAAATCATACACAAGTAGAATCCATCGGATCTAAGAATTCTTGCACCCGACTGATTAAAATTTCTTAGAGCCGAGTGCGATTGGTAAAATTTGTGTAGATCCAGAATCGAATCTAATCGATCAAAATTGTTGGATTCGGATCTAATTGATTAATCTTTTGTGGGGCTAGGGACCATTAGGTCCAAAAATTTCTGGATCCGAACTCATTCGACTAAAAATTTTCAGAAACGAACCCGATGACCCTACAGATAAATGATATTGTAGGAAATGCAAAAGATTACAAAAGCGACGTAAAAGTAAGGATACATGTTAGCTATTAAGGTCTATTTGTTTTGCTTTGCTACAGTTAATGACAAAGCATCTGATAATTCATTAAGATCAATTTCATTATGTGTATAACATTGATTTAAAATATTAATACGTCGTTGTATTGAATTGATGGATACCGTTTCTAACTGACTTCGAGCGCTAGCATTGATTTGTAATAATATGTGGCGAAATTGAGCTTATTCACCTTGAAGTTGGAGATACAACTTAATAGTAAATTGCCTATGTGCATTACCTTCAAATTTTTCGACCTTTTTTGTTCCGACATTATTTGTTTCAGTCTTTTCTGTGTATACCATTTAATTATGCATACCCACTTTCGCAACAGTTTAACAAAATTGTACATGCGTCGATCGTATAGCATGACACACAATGATATACCACAGTCATAAATCTTCGTATATGGAGAAGAGAAATTTATCTTGTTATCTCCTCAAGTCAAATAGGCATGGTTGTAAACGAACTTTTTAGATGATTTTTCTTCACCGTTTAGTAGATGCAATATTACCACTGTATTTCACTATATCGTAAACGATTGATTGCTCGGTCTTCAGACCGTTTGATGCTCGTTACCAACTAGATACGGCATGATGAAATATATTTTCTAATACTGCGTCTATCAAAACGTCAATTTACAGCTATTTACAACCACAAACTGTGTGAAACGATAGTATACAGTGCAGTTTTTGACCGTCTTGGCTACTGTAATCATCGTCCTGAGTCGTCATAATGTTTTTACGACCTCCGTATACCGAATCAGTTTCGCACCATATACACTCATCGTATACAAGATCCGTGTATGTCCGTTTTTCTGCGTAAACGATCGTTTATGATGGTGTCTATTCGATCTGAGTAAACTTTAAGTTGTTTACAAGTGAAAAGTATTTATGAACATTCAAATTAATGTCTTATTGCATTTCAAAGATGTTGAAATGCAAATATTAATTTGTGAAAAATTTGAACGATGAGATCTCATTAAAAGAACACATTTTGAGAAAACAAATATTGAACTGACGATGACATAGCATGAACACACGTGATTTTTCTAACATGCGTAATAAGATTATTGGTTAAATTTTCTTTCTGCAGAAAACCATAAATTTCTTCTGAAACTGATTTTCGTATTGAATTATCAATTTTTGATTTTTTGAATAAATGAATGACTCAAGTTCGAACCATGAGTCAAACTTGCTCATTTCTGCTATATTGAAGTTCTATTAAATAAAACTATGGATTAGTGTTTAAACTGAAACTTTGCGCTCATTTTTGAATGAAAATTTCAAGCGAAGTTTATAATTAGAATGATTGATTGATAATTATAAAATCATTAATTATAGAAATACATAGTATTTAATAATAGAATACTGCACTTTTGAACTTCAAATCAATTGATTGACAATATGGGGTTGTATACATTCGTAAACCATTATCCTACATGATAATTTTAGAAGGTGAAATGATGGTAGGATGGCTTTTTAGAGAAAGTTTAGTACGAAGAACAATCACACTGTAAAAGAAGTTCATTAAGAAACTCAAAAACTGTACTACAACTGTAAGAAATCTTAAAAAAGGTTTTCCTGCTACTAGACGGAAAAAATTGTCACTACCCAAACACAAAAATTTCAAATCCATGTACGAAACATTGTTATGATCGGCCTAATCTGCACAACGTTCGCACGCAACGCCAAACTTTATAGATTTGGTATAAAAGCTTTTCAAGATTTTTCGCGTACCTCCAAGAAAAATATTGAGAGGTTCTGTATCAAGGTTAGTATAAAATCTAAAAGGTTGGGCATCGCGTGCACACATTTTGGAGATTTCATTGATTCTAAAGACGTTCAAAGAACGGGAACTCTGATTTAGTGATCCAGATCGAACGATTCACGTTTATTTTTCGTTACAGGACAAGAGTTCGGGAACTATTCAACCAGATTCAGACAGCTTGTGCTTAACTTTCTCGTGGTGAAAATTCTGGATCACTTGTTAAATTCAAGAATTCTATAATATCAATAATAACAGAAAAGAGGATGTGGGTCTTTTTCTTGCTCATTAATTTCGATGATATTTTAAAAATTTTTAATGCCGAAAAAAAGCCAAGATTCAACACTGAATACATTTGTCGTTTGTTAGTTGATCGGCACGTATACACAACGAGTAATTCAATATTTGACCTTGATTATGTCAAGTTGATCTATTAGCAAAAGTTTATTGTTCAATTAAAAATTTAAATTCAAAGCCATAATTAATTTTCCTATATATTTTACTATTTATATTAAATTTTCATTCTATTTATTAAAAGAAATTTCAAAAAAAGAAAAAAACACAATTAGTTTCTTCTAAGAAAACAAAACGTTATTTGAAGCAATAGAGTTGAATTTATTCATATGTCTGATATAATTAAACTATTGAATTTCTGTAATTATTTCTAAATGAAACAAAATTTAATATTTAAATAAATCTATTATATTATTTACATATGACTTTGTATCTATAAATAAATTAACATATTTTGTTTCTAAAACTTCATTTGAACCAACATTCATATTGACATATAAAGTTTCTGGTTCTGTTTCTTCTTTAGATGATATTGCGTAATTGTTTCGTTTAGGATAAAGAATTAAATCATTCGATGAATCCTTTATAGCATTAGGCATTGAATTAATATGATCATGAACTTGATCAACTCTTATATCTAAAAGATATATTTTTAGTATCGAAATAATTTTCTTTTTACTGTCTCACCTTTATGATTGCCATCATTCAATGGCATCGATTGAATCAATTTAAATAGGATAAAAATAAGAAAGAACATGTGTGAACATATCTATGTAGAGTTTGAAATAATAGATAAATATTCAAAGAGTTCATTTACCTTAGCCATGAGTCTTAAAAGTATAAACGATTTTATATATTAATAATTTCTGATATGAATATAAACCTTAGTATTATATTTTTAAATAGACGTGATCCT